GGGGGGGGGGGGGGGAGGTTTGGAAAATTGACACAATAAACAAAAAATGAAAAAGGAAGCAAGAGAGGCAGGAAAGCCCCTTCTTATTCTTTATCCTGTCAGGTTGTCACCAGCAGCATTTTTTCTGGTATTACCTGGTTTTTTTCTGGTATTACCTGGTCTGGTATGACCTCACTGTCACCCAGCACCCTTGTACTCTTTTTTTTTACTTTTGGGCATCTGTCCTTTTCATCTTTCTCAGCTTGCTAGTCTACTGTATGGTGAACTGAACATGAGGCAGTTTTTGTATTTTTTTCTACTGTTACATGCCTACTTATGGCCTACTAAAGTTCCCTACCTCAATAGTCTTCCTCTTAATCTTCTTCTGGTTTTCCAGGCGTTCCTTTTCTTTCTCCACAGTTCTGGTGGACTCCCTCAGCCTCTCCAGGTCCCGCTGGTACTTCTCCCTCTGAATCTCCAGCTCTTTTCTCTCTTCTGCTAGATGCTCCTGCATCAAAAGGACAAACAACGTTAACTTTGAGTGGAATATAGATATCTGTACATTACACATTGAACTGAGACACATCATACTTTAATGAAAGTACAAAACGTTTAAAATACAATTTAAAGCCATCTCTTTGTAGGTTATAAAAACTAGAACACTTTAGGAAAAGTTTATTTATTTTCATTACACATGAGAAAATCTCATAGAACTGAAGCATACATTCAAGGTAGGACAGAAAACTTCACCTCCAGTCGTCTGCACTCCTCCTCCCTTTGTCGGAGCCTGGCCTCAGTGGCCTCAACTTGTTGGCGATGCCTCTCCCTCTCTTTCTCCCAGCGCTGCTGCTCCTGCCGGTGCTGAGACTGAAGCTTGTGGAAGCTGGCCAGCTCTTCTCTCTGCAGGGCCAAAGTACGCTGTTTCTCCTGCTCCAGTAGCACGTTCCCTCTGTGACGACCGGGCAGGGAGGCCCGCTGCAGCTCAATATGACTGTCCCGCTGTGATATGATGGCCTGGAGACGGGGACAGGAGGAAAATATCAGGTCATTAGTTATTTTAACATGTTTGAGTTTTGTAGTGAAATGTTTCTAAGCAGTGAACATCAAAGTTATCAAGTGAGTCAAACTGCAAACATAAACACCAAAATATAAAGCAATTAATCTGCAAACATACAGAATACCACATGTTTCAATTAGACTTCAGTGACAGTATTACCTGCAGACTATAGAGCCTTTGGGAGAGCATCAGCACTCTGTCAAAGAACTACAATAGAAACACAGGCAAGGTTATCATATCATCAAAAGGACAACACCAGCATCAGCAAAACAGTACACTTCATCAACTTCTTTATGGGTACATCTTTTCAGTTCAGCGGGCATGGGTATGAATATCAGTGCCAGCAGTGTTGTATAGCACAAGGTGACAGAGTTTACCTCAGCCTCGGGGAAGGAGTTGGACCAGATGCGGTTCCATCTGGCAGGAGAGCAGCAGCTCTCATCAACCTGAGCAACAACAGTGATACACACAGCAAGTCATATAACAACATCACAAGCACACTGTGAGTACTGTTCAGTACTGCTACACAACATAAACAATACATAACATATGAAACATTTGAAATGTATTGTGGTATGGTATGGTGGTATGTGATTTCATAATTTAAAAAATTATATTTTTATGAAAGCTCTGTGTTCAAATTAATTTTGAAGGACCATTAATTAATTAATTAATTAAACATTGTTTTATCAAGGCTTTATCTATTTATAAACAAATGAAGTGACAGGTTACAGTAAACATCAGGACATGGAAAATTTCCAGATGACTTGGTCTGGTCATTACTATTTACAGGAAATAACACCGTGACTCATCCCAAGATATGCCGTCTATGAGTGTGTGTGTGCGTGTGCATGTGCATGTGTGCGTGTGCGTGTGTGTTGAGCCCCTACCGTCTGTTCCAGGGTGTTGCTGCCACAGAGGTCTTTGAGCAGAGGGTCAGAGCTGGCTCTCTGGCTTCTGTCTCTGTTTCTGGACTCACCAGAAAAGTTCTTCTTCACACTGCCATCTGGCACAGACACATCAACACCAACGCCCACAGACACGGACACAGAGACAAACACACACAAATAATTAAACTAAACTGATACATAGAAATACAGACAATCACAAACATTGCACTTAAACAACACACATGTAAAACTGAGCCCATAAACTTCTAATTTTTTATTTTTTAAGTGTGCTGGCTTTATCACCAAGAAACAAGTTCTTAGAAAAAGCATCCACATAAATTCAACCAATAAAACCAATTCAAGGAATCAACAGTTTTTGAAAAAAAAAAAATTCAAATTTATTTATAATTCATTAATGGCATAAAGGCCACTGAAATACAACTGCAAATCCATTAGATGGTAGACTTCTTCAGGGAATGGATTGTGCTGGACTCACTCTTATTGAGGATGGTGGGGTTGCTGTCATAGCCCCCAAAGGTATCCGCTCGCCTGGGCAGAACCCCAGAGCCGCTTCCTTCTTCCAGCCGTGAGATTGGAGTTTCCTCCCTCACTCCGGACTGCAGCAGGTTCTGGAGGTTCTCCACTGAAGTGAAAGAGATAGGTTGAAAAGTTGGGATGAGGGAGAGGTTTAGGATACATACAGATTTATTACAGAGCTGCAGTGAGCAGTATATAAACATAAAGTTGACCAAATCTGTGTGTGAAATTCACACAATGCCATAGTGCCATGTCTCTGTATATAAAGCAGACACACATATCATGTAGCACTGTCCTACCCTCAGTGATAGCTCCTTTGAGCAGGGCCTCCCCCTGCTGGAGGTCTGAGGCATCTCCTCGGAGCAGAAGTCTAGAACGTGAAGCGGTGTCCTCTGGACCTGTCACAGACTCTGCCATGTCCGCAAACAGCTGCAGCTTCTCAGTAAGAGTCTGGACGATCACTGCATCCTTCTGACTCAGCCGTTCTACAATGGGAAACATGACAAAGTAAGACTTCATCTCAAACAATTGATACTTCACACTTCTTAGGGACCTTAAACGGCTTCTCCTGCAAGGAATACAATCTGTGTGTCCAAAAACAGCTTTCATAAACCTAAATAAAATGTAGAGAAAAAGTCAACAACTTACCAAAGTCTAACATTTTTAGGGTTAATATGATACATGAGCGCCTCCTAGTGGCCAACTATATGTGATTTTCAAGGTGATTTCTTCATGCAAGTCACTTGATCTTCAGTTACCTTGAAATTCTTTGAACCTGGAAGCTCGTGCCTCTTCCTCCTCACTGAACAGCCTCTCTTCAGTATGAGGACAACTAAGAGGAGACAGAACAGAAGCCATTACAGATGGGGAGACAGAGAAGGCAAATGGTGTCAGGTTCCTATACGTTTTTTGTTATATCCAAATCTTAAAAATTAATTTTTTCCCACAAAAACAGAAATAATAGTAATAAATGTTTGTGCATTTCCTCTTTGTATGAATGCAGCTACCTCTCAACAGCCTGCCGTATGTGTGTCATCCAACTGTTTCGCTCCTCCTTGGAGGTTGTGTGGATCTCGTACATCTCTGGCTCATTGGAGGAGGCACAGATAAGAAACATGGCTTTTTCCTCATGGGCTACCTCCCTGACAATCAGCTTCTGAAGAGAGATCACTGACGGCTTGTTATCCTGGGTGGATAACAATAAGAAGGAGAGGAAGATGGAGGAGGGAGGAGGGAGGAGGGAAGAAACAAGATGTGCTTTTTGATTACTCGCACTTAAGGTAATTGTTTTTGTTAGATAGCTTCATACTGACAGAAGAATCACTCACCACTGTAGCAAATACATATCTCTGATCCTTCTCTTGTAACAAAAGCAACACATCTGACAGGAGCACTGCCAGAATGTCTGGAAGGACAAAAATCACAAATTACACCTTTAGACTTCAGCCTGCAAGCTGGAAAGAAGGTAGATAATAGACTTGACACATTTAAAATGTGTGACTATCTCTTCTTAATGTTAATCCATTCCAAAACCTTTCCAAAAGGACAAGAATGACACATTCTAGATTTATTTTTAAAAAGGGACAGCATATATATGCACACTACTAGAGTGTATATCTTGTTTTACATCATATCATATCATACCTTTGAGCCTGCCAGAAGCAGCTTTCCAGTTGACTGTGCCTTCATGCAGCAGCCGTCTCCTGCCCTGTGCCAGGTCCTCTCTACGAAACACTCGGCCATCTTTGATTTTTCCCAGTGCCTTTGGTTCCATCTTATTGTGTATGTCTCGAAGTCGAGAGTTCTTCTCGTGGAGATTAACCAACGCGTCAACCTGAACGATGGTGTCTTTAATCAGACCCATTGATCGAGTTAGATCCTCATGCTCCTCTGTACCCGCTAGAGACAGAAAACAAATGTGATATTTTAGAGGTTTACAGCCAAATGAACCTATAATGAGTGAAGTTATTGCTCACTAAATATATGGGTGTACTTTCCTCTATAGTGATTTTTCTTTTTTTTTTTTTATTTATCAAATGCATATGAAATGCTTCACCTTCAGTGTTGTGAAGAATGCGCTCCACTAGTACTGGGTACTTGGTAATGCGCTGTGTCACCAACAGAATACACTCGGACACTCCTAACCTCCGAACAATGGACAGGTTGTTGAGTTTCTGTGAAGAAAAAAGTTGTCAATGTTTATGAGACTCCTAGTGGCCTTTACCGCAGAGGCACTGTGGATTAAATCTAAAATAAAAAGTAAAAAGACTGATGCTGCTGATGTGTCTTACCCGTATGATGTTTTGGAACTTTTTGTTGTTATGCAGCTGTTCTTTGTAGTAGCTGACAGCTTCAGTGTGGTGACTGCAGAAATCTCCATAGCTGTCCTTCATCTTCTCGCCTAATTCACCCGAGAACTGGAAAGCAAAGAAAGCCATGCTGTTGTGTGCTGGTCCATACTGCACCATGGCACATGTATAGTGCTGTTTACATCTAATTTGTGTATCATGTTGTGCGTGTGTAACTCTATTGTGATCTACTCAACACAATCAATGCTTGGTGTCTGCATGAGTGTTCTTGTTGGACATGCTCCATTTCTCCTCCCTACCTGTGCAATCAGAATATCTGCTATTCTGTTGATAGTGTAGTTCTTCTCGTTGGGCGAGACAAGGTTTTCTCGCCGACGCTCTCTGAGACGAGACAGGAAATTTGTGTGAAGCTCGAGAAGGTTTTCCAAGCGGGGGAACAGACAGTCCAGCCTGCTCGAGTCCATCTGGAGGTTCTCCTTCAACTCCCGCACGTACACATGCAGCATTATCTTCAGTGTTCGCACGTGGTGCATCTCCGTCTGCATCAGCTCTGTACAATGACATAGTTACATGTAACATGTAAAGCACATACATGTATAATGCATTGCAATGCTTTGGACTGGCTCACAACAGGTGCTTCATGCCATCCAAACCTACCAACCTAACCTATTTTCCTCATATTGTTTGCTTATACATTCACCTGACTAAAACAGCTTTCTAAAGTAGTCCTAAAATTTAAGGGACACTGCACCAATATTACACATCTAAGTCTGTTTGCAGGCCTTGAAGAGAACTAATAAATATGTGAAAAAAGTTGTATAAAGCCTTTTGTGGCTGAAGAGGGAGCTATGCCAAATCTGATAAATTGCTTTGAGTGATGTCGCTTGAGTCAGGCTTCCATTGGGGCTGAATCTTATATATACAGTCAATGGGCTGAATACTACAAGTTTTAAAAATGAGAAAAAAAATTCAGCTTACTCTGCTTCAGGCTATAATAGCCGCATCTCAAATCTCCAACTAAACAATTTGTGCTTGAGTTGGATTGTGGGTAGTTTTTGTCAAGGAAACACAAAAGAGCGAAGCTGCATCAATTTTAATACTATAAATATAAAAAAAGAACCATCCATTGTGAGTCCAACAATGTTAAATCAGTGAAGCACACTTTCAGAAATAAAATGACTAGCGAGCCAGGATGACAGTTCACCAAAACTACCACATCAATGAGCTACCCGTCAATCCAACGGAAGAGTGACTCATTGGCCCGACAGGTACAAGTGCGAACACAACCTCAGAAATCACACTTACCATATATCACATCCTGTCTCTTCACTGTTTCTTTAGAGTGCTTCTTAACAAATTGCTGGTCAACTGCCAAACTCCAGGACTCTGCCTCCAGGTCCTGCGCATCACACTCCAGATCGGCCCGCACTGCTGCATAGTGAGCATCTGAGGAGAGGAGCAGAGGCACATTACAGCGTTATTATACAAAACACATATTTTAAGTTGACTATATATGGCGGTAACCCATGTTTAGGTCAGTGTTTCTGCAAGAAAGCCGGAGGTTAAGTGTGAGCAGAACAGCACCCCAGGGAGCATACAGTCTGGATTATGTACTGTAGCTGAAGGTCCGTCTTGTCACCTTCAAGGAGACGCCAACTTTCAAACTCTCTCAAAATGATTGATGGCAGGAGATGAACAGATCATGTTTCCTCTAAAAGGACAAAAGGTAACTCAAAACCTCAGATGACTTACACAGAATCTTCTAGATTTTGTATCTCTCATAAATGATGAACAGTAATTTTCAAGAGAATATTCCCTTAGAAAAGGTCACCAATTACTTATTGTGAAGCATCCAACTTTAAGAATAGTTTACTGCTGACTTAATGTCTTGTCTTTTTGTATTTTGGCAGGGCGGAAAATGATACATGGCGATAGTGACAAAGCAATATGAACTAAGTAATCTTGACTCAACAAAACAATTTGTCCATACTTTCTTACCACCAAACTTTTTTAAAATATAAAATATAAGCCTTTACTGGCCAAACTATGGAAAAGCTTTTGTCTGGGCACATCGAAACCTTGGCTTCAATAAAGACCTTGTGGTTTAAAGGGTGGGAAGTGGTAAATGGTAAATACTTGTATAGTATCGACTTTACTAAGCTTCCGAAACACTTCAAGGACGCATGATTACAACGTTATACAAACAATAAACATACAAAGCGATGCAAAGCTACAAAAATTCGAACAAGAAAACAAAACTAACTCAATACATAAAAACAAATTCAACAACACCGATGCTAAATAAAAACAAATATCGGAAGCAACATTCTTGCTCCAAAAGGAATAACTTCGGACAAATTAAAGTGGCAGAGAAAGGAAAGAACGTAGCAATAAAATACAATACAAAAAACAACATTAGCTAGATTGAGATATGAGACGAACCCATCTGCCTATCTGAGCCACAGCCGCCCCTATGTTAGTGTCAGTGTTAACCTACATTCAGCACAAGAGGTGCTGATTTGTAGCTGACGCTGCACTCAATACTTGTATCGCATTACTATTTATCAGCAGATAATAATTTGAATTATAGGGGCTTCCTTAAAAAGCTGTTTGTAGATTTATATTATATAGGATATATTATTTATACTGATACAGTCAGCTTGGTGCCTAAAATGATAAAAGTACCTACAAGAAGGTAACCCCAATGCTGTGCTGCATGCTTTTATTAAGGGACATTCGGGCATTGTCAGATTAGTTTTTCTGTGCTCCCTTGAGCAATTATCTGCAAAGCAACAGAGATGAAATATAAGAATCAAAGTCACAAAGTGTGTGTCTGATAAAACAAGAAACCCTAGAACAGGGCAGCTGGGAGAAAAAGATGGTGCAGTAGCTCTTTCTATGTGGCAAGCTACTGAAGAACCCAGTTAGCCTGTCTCTCTCTCCCACACACTACAGCTTAATGAGAAAGGGTGAGGTCACCCCTGACTCCACAAAACACACTCCACACTCTCTCCTCCCTGGACTTAAGAAAACTCCCTGAAGACAAACTATGACTCTGCACTCAGGCAAACAAATAGATCTTAGAGGACTGTAAAGACTGAGAAAGATTAGTTATATTAGATAAACCGTGTTACCTCCCTAACGATTTAAACCAAGAGTGGAACTGTTGAAATTCAAGTCCCATCCCCACCTCGGTCGGTCAACTCACCTTCAACGATGATGGACTCTGTGGTGGAGGGAGCAAGGGAAATGGCGTCTTCGTTGCAGCGTTTGGAGCGGAGAGCATCTGTCTCATCCATCTCCCCAGGGAGGGATCTGAGGGACGACAACCACAGGTCCAAGGTAGCATACATGTTAAAACTGGTACAACTTAATCCCACTAGCTGGTGGCAGTCTAAATAAAGTTAGGAGCCAACATGTACATTTACATTTACATTTACATTTACATTTACAGGTACACAGTACCAATACCATAAAACAGACTCCAAAGAGAAACCCAGGCTGCTACATTTTTCTTCCCCGCTTACTGTTGCCCATCTATGACTCTGTCTTCTGCTCTTGTTTATGCCTTCCCTATGCCTTTGTCTCTCTCCCTCTCCCTACACATTTTCTTAACAATGCAGTGGAATAGTAGTCCACTTCTGAGAACCGTCTAGACTCAGTTTCAAATAGCTTCTGTATTAGAAAAGACAGCTTGCCTTGATATGTCAACTATAAATACACATCTTATGATGGCATAGAGAAAATAGTATTTCAGCAGCAAAGAATCTAAAAATATCCAACATTAACATGCAGCAGATCCTGTGAACATCTAAAGAATTAAAGATTTTGAGAGAAAGATATCTAATTTTTGTGGTGGTTTTTGAACTTCTCAACCCTGAATCCTGTTATTCAGAAGAAAATATTTTTAAAAGGAGACTAGTTACAAAGAAACAGAGAAAAAAAAAAAAACAACTTCTGTGGAGGACTGAAAAAGTCTAACTTGCAAGGCCGAGATACTCACCCTGAGCTGTTGTGGTGACGGAGGCTGTGGCCAAGGCTGGAGGCTGTGGTGGAGCTGGTGGTATGGGCAGCAGTCGGATGAGTGCTAGGTCCCCACGGACTAATGGTCATGCCTGGGGTGCTGAAATAACTTGGGTGGCCATCCAGGGCCTGTGATGAGGCTGGGCCAAACTGCTCCCTCTCCCTGTCCCGGTCTTTTAGCGCTGGGGAGGAAAGACGAGAGACAGGTGAACGGAGAAAATGAGAGGTTACGGAGGAGGAACGTGAGGAGAAAAGAGGAGAGGAGAGGGCGAAAGAAGAAGATGACCAGTGCAGAGGCGAAGAGGAGGGCTTATTTGACTCCTGTCCGAGTCGACCCCAGTATTTTTTCAACCAAGATCGAGGCAGGGATCGGAAGAATCGGCGGGTGATCAGGTCGCGGTGCATCAAAACGCGAACGCCAACACGTCCAGACAGACCCAAAGATGAGGCAGAGGAAGATGGGGAGGAGGATGGTTTAGCAATTCTGGAGCAACCTTTGGAGGCTCCCGTGGTTTGAGTAGTGTCTTTGGTAACAGCTAGCTCCATTGAGTGGCAGAAGGAGGAGTGTAGTAATCCAAACTCCAAAGTAAGGTTCAAAAGTCTCTGTCGCAGGATCAGTAGATATAAAAAGTAATAAAGTACAAGAGTAATAAGTGATGTGCCTTCACTGTTGTAATGAAGGACAAGAAGCAGAAGACAGCATAAAGCCTGGTTTTTATACGCGACCTGCTCACGTGGTTTACGTCCGATTTCTTCTAGCAACTTCTGGAAAGACGCACACCCTTTTATATTGCTCACACTTTCTGATTCTTCACTTTTCCTCAATTCCTCTCGCTGTTTGTCGTTTTCCAGACCCCCTGCACAAGCTACTGATTGACCAGAGCAGGAGATGAGGAGAAATGAGGTGTGGCTGAGAGGACTCCAGCTGTTCAGAGGAGAATAACAACTGCTACAGGAGATTAATTTAAGCTGTTGCTGCTGCAGCCGCTCATGTCTCCTGTGGGTTCAATCACATGCAACAGGACCCGCTGAATGTTACAATTAGCAGTTTTTCTGATATGGACCACTTGATAATAATGGATGAGAGCATACTTCACATTTATTCTGGAGTTTAAATGAGTCAAATGACCTTTAATAAAAACTTTCCTGTAAGGAAGAATTTGACATCCCTACAAATTTGCAAATAATTTGCAAATAATTGTTTTTCTTCCTTATGTTTCTGTATTGATATGTATCTATTGATACAAACCCAACTAATGTGTATAAAAGCTACAATGTACTAAATTTATCCTGGGTTTAGACAAGAATTGAACCAGAGGTAATCATCTGACTGTTCTTAAAGCCTCTTGTATACTCGCCGTTCCTGACCTGTCACGCGACAGTATGACGTCAAAATGACATCGATCTCGCTGGCACGCCAGGATTTAGGCCTTGGCGCCCGAGGTCGTGCGCCACTCTTTTTTTTTTTTCAGCTG